ATCACTTCCTGTTTGTACAGGACGGTCCTGAACACCCTCATGACGGGCTGAGCACCGAAACAAAACTGGAGACAGTAACAGAGGTTTTAATGGGAAAGGTCCAAATCGCCCTTCTTGATATTTGATGGGTTTAAGAAAACGTAGTAATATACACAGTAGGCTGATATCTCAGTGTTTGGTTCATTTCTGTGAAGAAGTCTAAATGTAAAGTAAATTATTAAAGAAAGTCAAACATCAAACAGTGAATTTGTGTGAAATAAAGAAGCCTGTTAAGTCGGTATGATTATTAAAATGCAAAAAACACAGATTCAAATTCAAATTCATCCAAATCAGGTTTTACACAAATTTCCTGAGTTCAGTGTTTGGGTTCGGTGTTTTGAATATTAAATGAAATCTGTCAGTTTAATAATGATAGAAAGGGAACTACTGCTGCAGTAAAAACCAACATATCACCAGTTTGAGTTCAAACACTGTCAGAAACTGATTCAGTGCTTCAGAGCCGCTGGATGAAGCTTAATCTGTCCCTCAGTACCTGGTCTCTGTAGGCCTTCAGAACCTCCTCCAGGGAGAAGGTGAAGCGGTACGAGCCGCCTGGAGGCACTCCCATGAAGGCCGGGGAAGGTTTGCAAATTCCCAAGGAAGCCTTGCTGCCTCTGGGCCTGCTCCTCTGTCCGGTCTGGGTAGGTGGTCTCCAGCGAGCCTCCTCTAGCTGACCTTATCTCATCAGGTCCCACAACCAGACTCCACCACAGCAGAGAGCCATCAGTCTGGGTTCCTGGTCCCTCCTGATCCCACATAATCCGACTCGGTCTGTGTCGTGTTTTAGATAAGACACATGAAACTCTGGTTGCGGATACGCTGGGATGTGGTCTTTGAAGAGGTACTGGTTCTTCAAACCTTCTTGCTCCTTCAAATCCTTCAGCTTCAAGTGACCAACGAAAAGCTGCTCGTTGTGTCCTCTCCTGTTGACTCTGTTCATGGTCCGAACGCGAGAGAGAACAGGAGTGTTTTCCTTTCACTTTAGTCTCTGTGATCTGTGAACAGCAGAGCGCTGAGACAGACAGCTTACAGCGCCATCGAGTGGCGGTTGTCAAAATAAAAAACACCACAGTTTTGTCTGAGATATGAAAATAAACCACACCCACTTCTTCTTTTGTGGTGTTTGTGAACGGTCTCCTGTTCTTACAACGAGTCCTTTTATTGCTTTTATATAATTCTTTCTTCTTCCAGCAGCTCAGCTTCCACACTGTCTCTGTACTGACTGTGTGTGTGTGTGTGAGAGAGAGGATTACTGTGGATCAGATTTACTCTCAGTGATATTATTCTAACCGGTTGTTGGATCTGATTCATCTGGATGAAATATAAAAAAAAATAGATAATTAAAATCTTATTCTTTAGACTCTTTAATAGATAAAAAAGACTTAAAATGCATTCAACACACTGTAGTACGCTGTGAATATAGTGTGTTCATTATTATTATTATTATTATTATTTGTTGAACTCTGAAATGCATATTGTTATTTAATTTGTACTAGTCATTTATTCATGTACTTTACTATATTTATTTACTGTTTATTGTTGCGTTGTTGTCGTTCAGTGTTGTTATTTTTGTTCAGGTCAGATAAAAATAAAAAATAAAAACAACTTTTATTCTGAAGGTTGTGATATCCGGAAGTCTGACGCCGGTCCGCCGCCCTTTTTCTTCCCAGGGTGGTGAAGTCATGTCCCGCCTTACTCTGCCTCTGATTGGCTTACCCCGATTCTGTCATCCAACTCTAACCAATCACACTCCTCAAACCTATGACGGCATCGAGAACTAGCCAATCAGAAGCGGAGTAGGGCGGGTCGTCCGGTGTCCGGTTAGAATCATTAAACTAACCGGAAAACGGAAACATAAAGTCTGTCAGCGACGTTACCGGGACCGGAGCGGCGGAGGAGAAGTTTCACGTTCACATTAAAACTGTTAACGGACACTTCTGACGTCAGAGCAGTTAGCTCACAATGTGTAGCAGCAGCTGAAGCTAACCGCAGCTAACAGGCTTTAAATGGCCGCGAAGAAGAACTGCAGGTGGAAACAGCCTGCAGAGCTGTAAAGGTGAGTCCAACACAGTGACGTCACTGCCTCACCTGTAACCGCCAGACGTTATTGATGGTTTACTGATCTATACGGTAGGAGAGTAATCGATTACATTTAGGTCTGTAATATGGATTGATTTCAATCAATAACTGATCAAGTCACATGTTTGTGATCTAAAATTAATGATAATAATTCATAACTCTGTTCTGACAACAACAACAACAAACAACAAACAACAGTTGCGACTCTTCAGATGTTCATTATAAAACTTGATAAACATACTTTGACTGAAATAAAACATAAAGTTTATCAATCATGTTTTTTATTAAGAATTATTAATGAATAAGCCGATAGTCAATCAATACTGTTAATTATTGTGCATCCATGTCTGTTTATAATCAATACAATCTACTATTGATCAGATGAAGGTTGATCTGTCCACCAGAGGGCAACGACGAGTTGATTCCTCATCAATAAAAGGTCCTGATCAGTTTGATATTGATCACAGTTCGGAGGGGATCAAGGATTGATCACGTTGCACATTATTATTGATCAGTTGGGTCTATGGGTCTGATAGTTAATGAGCTGATCGATCAGTATTGATCGCTTGTGTTGTGGTCCCTCCAGGATGCTCCAGGGGCCGTACGGCAGCCTGGACCGGGACCGGCCCCTGATCCGGCTCCAGTTCACCGGCTTCGCTGTGGGGACGGTTCTGCTCCCTCTGACCGGCCTCATCGGCTGCCTCTTCATCGCGCTCGTGTACCACTACGAGGACGCCACGTACACACACTGCCACGTGAGTCACGCCTCCTCACCGCCGAGGCTTCTGGGGGATTAGGGGATTGTTTGTTGGTTGCAGAGATCCACTTCCTGTTTACACGCTGCGTCACCGTGGCAGCAGACCGGAAGTCAGAGATCGTGAACGGCTCTGAAGACGTTGGGTGGCGTCGGCACTCCCGTTGGCGGTGTAGTCGGAGCAGGACGAGCTCGCCGTGAACACTCGCTGTCTCTTTCTGCTCCACCAGGTGTCCAACTACCTCCCGTCCATCAGCGCCGCCATCAGCCGCGTGCCGGAGCGCTACATCTGGCGCTGCTGCATCGGCCTGCACTCGGCGCCGCGCTACCTGGTGTCCGCCGCCTACTTCAGCTTCTACCGCAGCCGCTTCGCCAAGAGGCTGCCGGAGCTGCTGCTGAGCGGCCTCGTTCTCCTCTGCAGCCTCGCCGAGAACACCGGCCTGCTGCTGCTCACTTACGTGTCGTCCACCGAGACCTACAGTGAGTGCGTCGGCCAATCACAGCGCAGATACACGTTAGAGGTTAAAGCATCTGATTCTTCTTCTAGGCTTTTATCAGACGTCCATCATCAGGTTTCTAATCGCTGTGTCACTGATGAACGTCAGTCAGGTTTATTCTCCAGTCATTCATCATCAGTCTATCATCCAGTGCATTATCATCACGTAGCACTTATATTCCATCATTTCATCAGTACGTACAGCGCAGTTGTTAATTACTTCGAATATGACCTGCAACCCTTTGCTGTGTGTCATCCCACTCTTCTCTCTGTCTCTCTCTCTGTCTTCTGTCTCTCTCTCTCTCGTCTCTCTCTCTCTGTCTCTCTCTCTTCTCTGTCTCTCTGTCTCTTGTTCTTGTTCTCTCTATGTCTCTCTCTCGTCTCTCTCTCTTCTTCTCTGTCTCTCTCTCTCTGTCTCTCTCTCTCTCTTCTCTGTCTTCTTCTCTCTGTCTCTCTCTCTGGTCTCTCTCTTCTTCTGTCTTCTCTGTCTCTCTCTCTCTCTCTCTTTAATGGGACAGGAAGTGCAGCCTTATATGGTCGTATCAGTGTTATCAGGATGTTAGTTCTTTAGAAATTCAGTGTTCCTAATATAACACCATGTTCTCTAATGGACTAATAGATTAAGTGTTTAATCTTTATAATAATAATAATGTTATTAAAGTGTTAATTAAGTGTTAATGAGCTGTTGCTGTCTGCAGGTGTTCATAAAAACGGTTTCATCGTGTTCATAGCGAGCTCGCTGCTGCACATGCTCTTTACGTGCAGACTGTGGCAGGTGATCAGGAGACACTACGTGAACCCAGAGGTAAACTCTCTGTCTGTCTGTCTGTCTGTCTGTCTGTCTGTCAGGAGGAGGAGGTGTGGAGTCGTCTCACCGCTCCTCAGACTGTCTGGTCATCACCATCATGGAGCTCCCTGAGGAGTCTCCGTCCTCTGACTCACTGAGCATGCTCAATGTCGTGGGTCTGTACCGCCCCCCCAGCCTGGACTCCCTGCCCTGCAACCTGCCGGCTCAGAAGTGTCGTGCCTGGACGTCTCGCAGCTTCCCCCGCTGCCTGCTGGGGGCGCTCTGCCTGGTCAGTACTCTAAAACCAATCAAACCAGTAAGAGCATGTAGAGACGGAGCAGCTGACAGGTGTGTGTGATGTGTTTGGACAGGTGTACTTCAGCTCTCTGCCTCTGGGGATCTACCTGCTGATGATCGGTCAGCTTTGGCTTGGCGTGGTCCTGGTCAGTCTGGTTCCCTCCACGCTGCTACTGCTCGTCCTCTACGGGTTCTGTCAGTGTCTGTGCCAGGAGCTGGATGAGGCACTCGCCGCACGCACACGCACGCTGCCGTGACAATAACAACACGGCGCTGCCGTGGCGACGATAACAACGCGACACGCTGCCGTGACAATGAGAACACAGCAACATATCAACACCAGAACCACCAGAGTCCTGTACAATGAAGCAGGTTCCTAATATCCAGAATATCTCTCCGTTATCTGGATTCACTGACCCGGACCGAATCCACCGGGCGCAGCCACCACATGTTCCAGCTGTGCCCCTGTTGTACGCAGCTGGTCTTTTGGTGATGGAAGCTGCGACCCACCCGACACAGAAACAGCGTCCACAATCTGGTCAATTTTCAAAATAAAGTATCCTGTGCAGACTCCACTGATATAGTACTTATATAGTTCCTTTGTAGTCTACTGACCACTCAGTTTCCTTCAGCATCAGGAGCAGTTTGGCGTTCACTAGCCGGGGATCGAACCAGCAACCTTCTGATCAGTGGACGACCCGCTCTACCTCCTGAGACACAGCCGCCCCCCACATTATCAACACAGTCGGGCAGGAAGATGCTCCGCTTCTCAAAAACTCTCGTGGGATTATAGCACCAAACCAGGTTATGGGTGTGACATCATAAAGCTGTGCCCGGTGGAGTTTTAGTGTAACAACCGCCATCACGCTAAGTGGTCACACAATGGTGGTTATCAGCTATGATATCCAACCATATCACACCATTCACATACAATCCGACCAATCACAGACCTGCAGGAGTCTGCTGGATATTACAGAACTGACAGAGAACTGGATCCGCTCACATGGTTTTGAACTGTTCGGAGCATTTTGACCAAAAAGGAATCAGTTCAGAACCTGAAAAGTTGGTTTCCATTTGGAAACAGAAGATATCAGGGAACCAAAGTGGGCGTGTCATATTGTACAGTGCGGCGCCCTCTGTTGATCACGCATCCCATTACAATGGTTCCACTCTAAACTGGTGGAAACGGTTCCAAGAATCCTGAACAGAACTAGGTTCAAGAACCAGAACTTATTTGGTGTAAAAACACTGAATGTGTAAGTTAATATTCTCATAAGATTACTGCCCCATCGTTAGAGTCTGTAATTACATCTGAGTGTATTCCATTAAATTAATGTGTTCATTAGATGTATTTTTCTTTTATATTTGGGCTTACTTGCTCCCACTGTACAGAAATGAACCAGAATATCCGGAGACCTCCAATGCTGTCTTTCTCCATTCGGAGCCAGAGTCTGTGCAGTAGTGATCGTCTGCTGAGTCTATACTGCAGTCAGCCACC